TATCACACAGCTTACTATGTAAAAATTTGTATATTTTCGCACTTATTAAGGACTGCATTTTATAACTCTTTTGTGTTAAAAATTATTTCTATAGGATGTATTGCTTGCCCTCAAGTCTGAGCTTGCTTTAATACTGATGGCTACCTTGTAAAAAAAAGTTTAAAAGTTGTTCTAATTATTATTGGTTATACTATTGAGCATAAACTGACAAGTTCAAATTGTTTGACATAAGACCACATAATATTCTCATAGCTGAAACCATGAATCTCACAATTTAAAATAATTCAGAAGGGCACCGTTTTGGCCATGAGAATTTTAAGCATAAATGTGAATCCTGTGCTTGCTGGTGAGCCGCTTACTGTACTGGCTCTGGTGTTATTTCCTTAGACAGGAACTCACTTTCTCTCTATAAAAGGCACCCATTGACTTTGAAATCTAAAGGGTATGGTATTGTGGAGAGTAAAAAAGAAGACAAAAGCAAAACACAAAGAAAACAAAGAAAAGTTAGAATTCTTTGACGTACGATAATAGACATTTAGAAGTAGAAGAACATGTTTTGAAAAGTAAAGACAAGACCCAGGGTTGGAACCACACAGAACTGAGAAATTCTCGTGGCAGCTGACAGTTGTGAGAGCGTACGTACACAGTTTTAAGGTATTTGCTTTTCAATGATCTCATTGTGTTTCTTCAAATGTTCACTTATCATTTAAGCACAAAAGTTCATGTTTCTACAGGTAATCTTAAAGAAAGCAAAAGAAAGGTGTGCCCTCAGTTAGGGCCTACAGGTCCTAAGGTCACATGATCTGATAAAGATGGGATGTCTATGAGAATGGAAGTCGGGGCTCACAGGAAACCTGGAAGGAACAGGAGAAACAGGCAGCCAGGGACAAAACGTATAGGGGCTCTGGGCTAGGGAAACTTTGGGGAGCCTCAGGGACACGGGAGAAGCAGACATCTCTGAGAGTGGGTTCCTCAGTGGTGCCTGCATGTGTCTGTGTCCTCCATCCTCACTCACATCTTCTCACCTTGTCTAACAATAACATTGAAATCATAGCTCCTGGTTAGTGCGAGCCTTCCAATGGTTTCCAAATATATGACATTTGGACCCCAAATCTCAATCTTAGACTTCTGGAATATTCCATGTGTTCAAAAATCTTTCTTCACTTGAAATATTTCTGCTGTGACCCTTTAGAAGTCATATATATATATANTATATGTATATATAAACATTCTCACGACACCATGATAAATTAACTCCAGGTTAATCAGACTATGAATTAAAATAGAACATGTATCTTCCCTATTTCGTAATAGATGATAAAATTTCAATTGTTCCTTTGTCATTTGTGAGAAAAAAATAAATTTCAGGTTGATATCCTTTCTACCTCTAAGTTTTCATACTATAAGGGAATACACATTTTTTATTAGTGTGTGGGTTACAACACTGCAGCCAGAGCAACACAATGAATGGCAGCTCCATCACCCTCTCTTGGGGTCTGTCACATTTTACTATTTGCTGGATAACACTGAGAGTGAGCATGTGACTTCTGTTGGCTGGAGAGACTTCAGGAACATTCGTCCATCACACCCTTACCTTCTCAACTAGAGGGCCCTTTAACTGCTCATATCTTTTTAATGGCGGTGTTGTTTCTCACAGCTCAAGAAGTACAATTCAAACACCCAGACTTACTGGAAATTAAAGTTGAGGAGGGGCTTTGGGTTGTTGATTTAATTTCTTTTCCTATTTCTATAATTAAATACTCAGATAAAAACCATGTAGAGAAGATTTTTTCCCCACAGTTCCAGGTTTCCTGGAAAGGAAGTAGAGGCCCCAGAAACTTGAAGCAAATGGTGACTTTGCATCCATGGTTAAGAAGCATTGAACAAAGTATGAATGGATGGGATGGATGGTTGTACTCAGCTCCCTTTCCTCATTTTCTACATACCATGATCTCCTGCCCAAAGGATAGTCCCCCTCACAAATAGGATGTCACTTCTCACATTAATCAACATAATAAAAATAGTCCTCCACAGGCAAGAGTAGAGGCCTGCCACAGAGTGATTTCCATCGAATTAAATACACCCTTCTAGAGGGAGGAAGAGGGATCACATGGCTCAGGAAGGAACAATAGGAACAATCTTAAGTGTCCTTCAGAAGAGAAGAGAGAGAACAGACTGTCTGCCCCAGTAAGGCAGAAGCTGGCAGATAGCGGAGTTCCAGGTAAGCCTGTTCTAATTATTCAAAACAGAAAGCTAGTGAAGATGTGATTGAAAAAAGGGGATCAAGTTTTAGCCCTAGTAAGCAACAGAAAATGACAGATTTAGTCACATGGATCTCGAGTTAAGGATAGAAAAAAGGGACTGTGGAATTTGTCCCTGAAACCAAGAAAAGCTGCAGAGGACAGACATATGTAAGGGTGTCCCTGAATGGAGGCCTATTGCATGAAGCTGTAATGTTAAAGCCTGGATTACCTTGAAGATAGTAAGATGTTGGAGACACCAGAGCTGGGGGAAACCTGCTGAGGAAAGCTACTCGCGGAAAGTGGAACCAGCCAAAGAGAAAGAAGTGGTTGCAGTCAATAAAGGTGAAAGAGTTGGAGATATGAAGAGCAATTTGGCATCAGGCATGGATATGTAGATTTTGGAGTTTTCCCAACTGGTTTTTGGTTTTGCTTTGGTCTAGTATTTTCCTCACTACGTTCCTTTCCCTACACTTAAAAATGGTAATGCATCTCTTGTGCCATTATACATTAGAAGTATGTGATCTGTAATTTATTATTATTTTGATTTTATAGGGGATTACAGTTAAGAAAGAGAATACATGAATCTCAGAAAAGACTTCAAACTTTAGACTTTTGAACGATAGACTATGGGGATTCTTGAAGTTGAACTAAATTCATTTAGCATTAGGATATTGTTACAAGTTTATAGGAATTAGGGAGTGGAATGTTGTAGTTTGAATGTAACTAGCCCCCATAAATTCATACAGAGTGGCATTATTAGAAGGTGTGACTTTTTGGAGTAGGTGTGGTCTTATTGAAACACTGTGGAGGCAGACTTTGAGGTGTAATATACATTCAAGCTACTCTCTGTGAGACAGTTCACTCCTACTGCCTGCAAGATGTAGGACTCTTAGGTCCTTCCCACCACCACGTCTGCCTGCATGCCTCCATGTCCTGCCTTGATGATAATAGACTGAACCTCTGAAAACGCAAGTTATTCCAATTACATGTCTTCCTTTATAAGAGTTAACATGGTCAGGGTGTCTCTTCATAGCAATAGAAAAGCTAACTAAGCCAAAACTCTACCGCAAAGCTCAGGGATCTTCTCAGGAGTGTGTGTGTCAGAGTGTGGGGGTGAAAATTTTAAGTGCTCTTGGTAGTGAGTGGGTTTAATGAAGTGTTTTCTGGACAAAGCAAAGCAGTTGCACACATCAACTCATAGTAATGGCATGCACAAGACCTGCACAAATGCAGGTCAGGAAAAAAAATCCGAGCAAGGAAAGTGAGTACAAAGCCCCATCTCTAGCTGAGGATTTGATAGCTGTTGGCAGGGACAGAGTCTTAGTTTCTCTCAAATATGTGACCCCTAATAGGTTGACCAGACTCTAGGGCCACACCTAAGAGCAGTTGACTAACACAGACTGGAATCAGTGGGTTTAAAGAGAAATTGGGTAAGAAAAAGAGATAGAGAAAGGAATGATAGAGTTAGAAATGGAGATGATAGACATAAAGATGATGGGGCTAGAGATGACAAGATAAAGGTGATAGAGATAGGTAGAGACAATGGATGGAGATAGAAATAGAGATGATGGAGATGGAGATGATGGATGGAGATAGAGAGATGATTATCTCCCTATACAGATCTCTCTTTATATGTGTGTCTATATTTATATATAAGATATTGTTAGATATGTAGAACATAAAGTTGAGTAGGCAGGGAGGTGTTGGGGTAAATGGAGGAAGGGAGTGAATATAATTAAAACACATTGCCTGAATTTCTTAAAAATTAATTGAAATATTATTAAATAAATAAAATGTGCACCAATTTTCTTTAAGAGAAAGATGACAGTATTTTATTTCTCATACTGTGGCACACCTAAATTCCCAAGAAGTCCGGAGCCATATTGTAGCTGAAGCAGTAAACAGCACCTATTGAGACTTGCTAGCAGTCCCTGTGAAGATTTACCATCGTTCCTGTTAGCACATACAACACTTCTTTCTTTTACACTTTCCCTATAACCTAACCTTAATAAAACTAATCCCATATCCCTCTTGCTAGCATACCCCTAGGCTCCACACCTGGTTTTGCATAGACTCCCTGTGAGCCTCATTTGCCCTTATCTCTCTGGCCTATGGAGCAATGCTCCTTTTTCATTGCTCCTTATTTTCCTGTTTAAACAGGTTCTCTACTGCTGTGCCCGCTACGTGGTACCTTCCTTCCAGAGTGCAGTTCCTTCCTTGGTACAGTTCTCCCTTCCCCTTCCAGAATTGCTGCCTTCACCCTTCTTGAGCTGGACGTTCACAATGCTCATATTTGATCTTCCAAATCCTGGATATCATCTTATTTTCATGCTACTTCCAGCAGAGATGTATTTTGAAAGCAATGTCCATAGACTTAAATCTGCAAAGGTCTGGAAATGTCACATTTTATCTGTAAATATAGATCACTGTGGTTGGTTTTCTAGGAAGGATGTGTTTCCTGTGCTCTTAAAATGGGATGAAAAGATCAAATGACCATACTGTACTAGGGAGGCTATTATGTATAGGAAGGATGAAACCCTACAGATCTTTGTGGTGACACTGGAAGTGTCATTTTCATGTTGCTAACATAAGAAGTTGTTTCCATAATGGAGTCTCATGGACATGTAAAGGTGCGAACTTCTTAGAGAAAATGGTTCCAATATGGCATTTGTATCCCTATAGAAATTACTCTCAGACTTACTAACACTGCAGGAATTTGGATACAGCTTCTCGTCTCTGGCTGGTACAGTCACTTACCCGTGATGGCCAACTGAGTCACAAAGAAGGTCATTCTGGACTTTCTTTTCCTTCTCCACGTGGAGAACAGCACAACAGAGTTTCCCACAATGGTGAAGACAAACAGGACCCACAGGGTTATCAGCTGTTCCGTCTGAAAGAAACAGAGTAGCTTGTAATAGAGGAGGTAAAGGACCAGGTGCTTCCAGGGAAGGCTGGTACAGGCACCTTGCTTGAAGTGGACTGTGTTTCTCTGAACCCTTCTTTACTCCCTTCTCCTCCCCAGCCCAGGGAAGCTCAACTCCTTTCTATAAGCAGTAGAGTAAACTGACCCAAATGAAAATTCTTCTTCTTTGGCCAAGTAATTTTAACTCCATGTGAGAGGTCAGGGTGTATAAAAGAATACTACAGCCACAAAGATGGGGGAAAAAGTGTTCGAAGATAATAAGATAGATAAGTAAACCAAACTCTTTGATTTGGTGAACTATTGTGCAGCTATCAAAGGTGAAGTGATGAAGATTTGGTAGTGACATTAAAAATACTTGCAATATAATATTTAAGTGGGAAAACATGAAAAAATTTTATACTGGGTATGATTACAATTTTGCAAAATTACACACATAGGGAAAGAAATAGAATGCAGTAAAATGTTCACAGTGGTTATTTTCGGTAGTATGATTATGGGTTATCTCTCTCTCTCTCTCTTTCCTTTGACAAATTTCACAAGATGGTAATATTAAAGTTCTGCTGGATAATGTATAATTAATAAAAAAGAAGAGCAGGGATGCCACTCACTTAAAATGCCAAGTCCCTCAGAAGATATTTTCCATGATCACTTCCAATGAAGCTTTTTATCTGCTTGACATTCATAACAGAGAATAAACAGATAAACTGTGATAGACTAGATGCAAGGTGAGATATAGTGAAAGACTTGTCAGGAAAAAACATGGGCCTAAAGTAAGCCAGACGAAGCCAGAAATCAAAACCAAATCAGTCCAAATGGTCTAGGAAAGATCATTTTAAGAGTGGAGCAGACCAGGACCGCAGCCCAAGAGCTAAAAATCTCAACTAGCTAAATTCAGTGTGTTAGGTAGCTAGGTTCTGGAATTCAGCTGCTTGGCCAAACATAAGTCTGAGATGCTGAAGGCAAGTATTTTTATTGATGTGATTAGCATCCATTGTCCGTCGATTTTAAATGACGGGGATTCTCCTCCACAATATGAGCAAACCTTGTACAGTAAGTGGGATCATGTAATTACAACCCTTTTAAAGTTGAAAATATCACTTCATAACTATATTTTGTTTATCTAACACATCAATCATCATAGTAGCCTTGCCAACCTTAACTGTGTTCAGAACACTCACATTGAGCCACAGGTCGACACAATTACCTAGCATAAAATCTATTTTATGAGAAAGTGTTAAATATCATAAGTGATGTTTTGGAAAATCATAGGAAACAGTTGCTTCCTTTCATGACATTGTGGTTCACCGGGCACCATGCTCTCTTGTTCCCACCCAGCATGACAAAAGAAAGTCAAAATGCATACCTGCTAGCCCAGGGGAAAAAAAAATCCGTGTTCAAAATTCAAAGCAGCATTTATGGAGCTGTAGATTTGGCTCAGTGGTCAAATGCTTGCTTAGCCTTGACAGAGCCGTGCCAGCACCTTACAAGTACACACACACACACACATACACACACACACACACACACACACACACACAAATATACTGAGTGCATGTTCTTCACCTCACTGTAAAGTAACAAACTCAGGAGCTGAAGCCCAAGACCATACTTTTATATACACTTGCATTCAAATCTTTTCACTGCAGAACCATGGCTAGTACTCTATGTACTAACACCATTTTCTACTTAAAAATTAATTCTAAATTATGTGATAACAGAAAAATTAATTGTTTTTAAGAAGCCAGAACAATGCAGATCATATCCTTTTTGGCTCTTTTCCTATTTTAATCAACCCCCTATTCCAAGGTAAACACCATCAAAATGTTTCTTAGTGTTAGTGAGGACACAAAACATAGTTTCACTATGACATTTTCAAACAAAATGTATTTTGTTGAATCCTCCCTTCCCATCTCCTCCATTTCCCCAACCCCACTGTAACCCTTCCTCCCCCAGGCACTAGCTTCCCATTGTCATGTCCATGAGTCCCACTGCTCTCCTGGCAATCGGTTCCCTAGACAGCTTTTCTTCCTCTTAAGAAGACTCCTTTATGGTTTTTTTAGTTAATGCCCACATTCAGACCCTCACATATAACTGAATCTTATTAGAGGCCATGCTCCCCAGCAGGGAGAAGAATCTGTGATATGTGTCTGTTCGCATCTCGGTCAGTTCACTTTCTATAATTTTATCCAGATTCTTCTGCTGTCCTGACATTTTCATAGTTTTATTTTGTTTTAAAGCCATACTTTATGTATAGCAAGGCAATTTATATATCCTGTTAAACTATACTAGGAAGCTTTGGTGATTTTTATTTAATTTCTTTGCCTATCTAATAATTAATTAAAACATTATTGAAAAGAGTTTGAAAATAAAAAACATTACACATTGAAACTAGGCAGATACAAAATCCACACATCTCAACGAAGTTCTGTCCAGTAAGAGCAGCTGTTTTGAAGCCGTGTGGCTTCCCATGGGACTTTACATACTCACTGTAATATAGTATTTATGGTTTTTGTTTGTCTTTTCTTTCTTTCTTTTCTTTTAAGAAAGGTTCTCATTGTGTATCTATGACTGGCCTGGAATTCAATATGTAGACCATGCTGGTCTAACTCAGAGAGATCTGCCTGCCTCCACCGCTGGAGTGTTGGGGATTACAGGTACACCCCACTATTTCCAGGCTATGCTAGTGAAGTTTTAAACAGAAGAAAACAGGGAACTGGTTCAGGTTACAAACCCCCTCTCCCTAGGAACAATTTTTTAAATTACTTTTTCTAAGTCAGTGCAAGAAATGTACGCAGTGCCTAGCCATGTCTAGTTCCATTACAGAAACTGACCATGGAATTAAAAAGAAAGTCCAGATTTACAGCCACTGTATCAAAGGGATAACACATGCTGGTTTCTTCAGAAGAGCAAAAATTCTTCTTGCTACTTCAATACACAGAGAGTTGAATTCACATATCCTCCATAGCTGTTGGAAGCCATAACAGAGTTAAAACCAGAAAAAAAATATAGCTTTTTATTTTCTTTCATGATTTAAGTGTGCCTCTCTTGATATCCTTTCTAAACTTTCAGACTTTACTCATATATTTTCTTTATAGCAAATACAATTCTCTGCAAAAAATAATTTTGCTTATAGTGTATATCCTTCCAATGCTTTGAAAAATGCTTTATAAACATATACATGAAAAAACAAATACATCATGTTACATTGTGTGTGTATGAGTTTGTTATTTACTATGGTTCACATATTGTACCACTTGTTTGACTCTGCAGGAGAAGTGGCTAAATAAGAGTAATACGTTCACACAATAGAATAAAGTATTTTACTTAAAAATGGATTGACGGGAAGTGAAAGATGGGTCAGTGGGTAAAGGCATTTGCTGCCAAGCCTGGAAACCTGACTTTGATTTCTGTGAGCTATATGGTAGAAGAAGAGACTCCAACAAATAGAGTATTCTCTCCACCCATGTGCTGTGACATACCTGTATACAAATATACACTTATAATACATACATACATTACACACATGCACAGATACATCCATCCATTAATATAACAAAATGGGCTAACGGAGGACGGGGAAATGGCTCAGTGGGTTAAGTGCTGTTTGTGAAAATACAAGGATGTGAGTTATGTCTCCTAACACACAGGTAAAAGCTAGACACTGTGGTACATGTCAATAATCTTTGCTCTAGGAATGTAGAGAGATCTACGGAATTCACTGATCAGCAAATGACAGTGAACTTATAGATTTTGAGAAAAAGTTTCTTGCTAGTTAATCATTTGGTATAGGCTTAACCTACGGCTAAAGACTGTGTGTCCTTGAGTCACAGAATGTGGAGAAACCAAGTTGGTCCTTACTTGGATGCTTCACCCCTACTGACTAGATTTCAGAAGAGGGGACAGAAAGACTGTAAGAGCCAGAGATGGTGGGTAACTTCAAGGGGACAGTGTTTTTCTAGACACAGCAGGGCACTATGCTCACTCATAGCAGCTGTGACAGTGTACAGGAAACCTACACAAATTTAAGCTAGACAAAACTCCAGCATGCAAAGGGGAGGTGGGCATAAGATCCCACCACGATTTGTAGAGCTACTGACATTTGATAGCTTCCAGGATAGGCAGAGCCAGTTTTCCTTAAAGATATGACCTCTGTAAGCCATCCACATGCCAGGGCAAGCCCCATCCCTAAGATGTTAATCAGACAAGACAAACCAAACTCAATAGGGGTGAGTAAAAAGAAATCTCAAAGCTGGGTTGGAAGGGAGTAGAGGGTAGAAGTTATGTGTGAGGTTGGGGAAGGGGAGGGCATGTGTTCAAAGTACATTGTATCAAATTCTCAGTGAATTAACAAAAATGCTTTTAAAATATAAGGATGAAAATGTAGAAAGATGAAGTCAACCTCTGGCACAGAACACACACACACACACATCTAGTAAATATAAAATATTGAGAAGCTTATAAGGCTGTGGGAGTGGAGCACACTGGGAAATGAGTTGGGTGGACTCATATTGTTTTACCCACTCGCATCTTCTCAGCAGAATGTGGTCCCTTTGGTTGTCATATTAAATCCTCAACCTCCCTGCCAAGGGGCCACAGAGCAAGTGAGAGCCCATGGTATGTGTGGGTCAGACACGCCATGAAGGCAGAACTTAATGTGGGAGTTTTGTTGAGATAAAGGTTGAAGAGAGAAAGAGGAAGATGAAGAAAAGACAAGGACCAGCAGTACAAAAGAGAGCAGGAGTAGGTGGAGCTTGTGTCTTACAGGGACCTTTTGCACCTATGTACTGATGAGAGATGTGTCAGTCACAGGACCCTGAGTTGGCCAGGATATTGCCTGGGTGTGTCCTGCCAGGTGACAGGGGCCAGCATAATGCCTGAATACTAACACTTAGGATATTATACAAGTCTCTAAGAATATTCTACAAGTCTCTATCCATGTCAGAAGTCCAGGATAAATCTAGCAGGTC